GAAACACAATATATATAGGAATAATGAAACACAATATATATAAGAATAATGAAACACAATATATATAGAAATAGTGAAACACAATATATAGATGCATTTGAAATTTATCAAAAGTTTACTATAAAATATTTAAAAATTTTTAAGACAAAAATTATTCTGCTAAAAAACATTTCAAACTAATAATATTTTGTATCTTTTTTTAATGTTTTTAAAAATTACCATCAAATTTTTCAATGAAATTAGATGGCACTAATCCTCGTTCACCAGATTTTAATTCTCCCAGGTAAAAACCATCCTAAATATAACAAAATCTTATATATATATATATACATATATATATATATATATATATATATATATATATATATATATATATATATATATATATATATATATATATATATATATATGTATATATATATATATATATATGTATATATATATATCTATATATCTATATATATATATATATATATATATATATATATATATATATATATATATATATATATATATATATATATATATATATATATATATATATATATATATATATATATATATAAATATATATATATATATATAAATATATATACATATATATATATATGTATATATATATATATATATATATATATATATATATATATATATATATATATATATATATACATATATATATATATATATATGGGTGTAAACTAGCCCTGTGGCGCCACGTCCAACGCGGTTTTCCCAAATTCTCATAAAATTAAAATTCCCAATTTAAAGATGAAAAAATCTCATTCTCCAAATAAAGTTTCCAAATTAAAGTTTAATAACATTTATAAGTTTAATAATAGCGCACTTGCCTCAGAAGCGTAAGATCTGTGGTTCAAACACCACCTCTGGGCAAGTTTTGTGACATCGGTTGGGAAGGAGGCGTGAACTTCCTGTTAAATACTCTTCCGCGGTGCTCTGTGATAAGACCGTAAGGACTTCTTGGGGCACCTTAATTAACTTTAAAAAAAAAAAAAATATTTCTAAAAATAATTTAAAATTAATTATTATTCAAAACTAATAGAAAAATAACATTAAAAAATTCTAATTCATTAATTGCGTAAAACATGAAATCAAATTATTGGTAAAAAAACGCAATTGCATAACTGCGAAAATTGGTTTCTTGGAAAAAAACATCACGAGAATTGGGATTTTTGGAGCGATTTTTGGGATTTTTGTGGTAACTTGCAATAAAGTTTGAAAATAGTTTTTTGCAATGCATTCCAACAACAGCAAATATTATATAAAAAAAGTTAGCAAGAAATAAAGTACTAATCTAAAAGATCCAAAATAATAACAAACTTGTTTGGTTTAACATCCGCAAACGTTATTTCTTTAAAAGTTTTGCCCTTTTTGGCTAAAAAGTTAAATAACTTATTAAGTCTTACCGTAAACTCAACTTTAAGTAGTACATGTATTTCGTCAACAAAAACATCGAGAAGGTTATGTCAGATACCTTTTGATCAATTACGGTTATTACGGAAAGTCTTTTAGTTATTGTTTTTCTTTTTTTTGTTTGGTATTTTATATCAATTGAATTTGCTAAAGTTTTTTACTTTTTTACTGGTATTCTTCGATGACACGCGGGCAATCGCTTGCTAATAATAATACTCTATAAATAAACAACATTTGTTGTTGTTTTTGCTGAGACTTTGAGATTATAACTTTATTTTGCTATGCCATTTATGTATAAAATAAATTATTATTAATTACAAAATTGAACTCGCAATAAATGTGAAATATGAAATTTATGAGCTTGTGTTTACTATTTTTAAAACCTTATCTATTTTCAAAAAACTTCTTTTGATAACACAATTTATTACATGATGATGTAAGGGTTCGTCCGTAAAGTATGTCGAGCAGAATTTAAACAATAATTAAAAGTAGAAGATCATTGGCTCATTGGAGATTGCTATTTTACTCTATTACATTGAAAAAGAAATATATATTCAAAATAATACTCTTGAAATGTAAGCGGCGACAATATATAAAGATTAAAAATAAATCAAATTAATTATTCTCAATAATAATTAATATACACTGATTATTTTATAATAAAAAAATATATCATTCCTAATATATGTTTGAAAATCGGTTCTTAGTTTGACGTGATGTCGTGAAACAACAGCTAATTTTGTGTTGATTTCATATTCATCTTTAATGATACAGATGGTATTTTATTTTATTTTTGGCGCTGATCAATCAATGTATGCAGCGCTGAAGTAGAGTAGAAAAAAAAAAAGAACACCAAAAAAGGATCCCATGCTTTCCCACAACACATTTTAATATCAGGGGAGGGGGGGGGGTGATTGAGAAATTGACAATTTCCCAATTTCGTTAAAACGCTGTATCAAATTTTTTCCTGGTTAACACTCTGTATATATATATATATATGTGTATATATATATATATATATATATATATATATATATATATATATATATATATATGTATATAGATATGTGTGTATATATATATATATATATATATATATATATATATATATATATATATATATATATATATATATATATATATATATATATATATATATATATATATATGTGTGTGTATATATATATATATGCATATATATATATATATGTATATATATATATATATATATATATGTGTGTGTGTGTGTGTATATATATATAGATGTGTATATATATATGTGTATATATGTATATATGTGTGTGTATATATATATATATATATATATATATATATATATATATATATATGTGTGTGTATATATATATATTTATATGTATATATATACATACAGGGGTTGAAATAAGTGTCGAATATTGATACCCCCGGACTGTTTTTGAGACCTGATTTATGGGGTCAAGCAATAGTTATTCATATTTACTAAAAAAATGGAACAATGGTAAAAAAATGAACAATTACCCTCTTTATGCAGGTCTAACGAATAGTCCGAGGGGCGGCAATGTCTGACACTTATTTCGAGATATATATATATATATATATATATATATATATATATATATATATATATATATATATATATATATATATATATATATATTTATATATTTATATATATATTAGAATGGGTCAAAAAACAACAATACCTCAATGATAGGAATTATATTTTTATATAATTTTGTAATGAAGTGAAATTATACAAAATTTTCAAAAATAATATCTATTTTATAAAAAAGATAAGATTTTATATTTTACTGAATAGCAATTGAAACTTTTTAACTTAAAAAGAAACCTTTTACACAATTTTTAAATTATATATATTTTTGTTAATGTATTTATAAAATGATTATTAATTTCAATTTGAGACTTCATTTAAGACCAAACAAGACATACTTTTTTTTTAATTAATATAACAGGCCCATTAAATGTTTTAGGGTCTTGAGGCACCCCTAAAAAAAATTTTTATCAAAAAAATTTTTAAATCCAGTGTTATTTTATCATGTAGAGCACATTAAAGTGCATACTGCATATATTTTTCAAAAATAACTATGTGTTATACTTTAGTAGTGTTTATATGTGATGTCTTTATTCCTTTTGCATTTATATATGCATAATTGCTTTTTTCATTTTTAATTCATTTTACAATGATTTTTTTAGCATATTAAAAAAGCATCCTATTTTAAAGGGGGAAAATCCTCCTCTCATTTAATAAGGGCGTGGCTTAGAAATCAAAATGGGAGAGGCATGAAAATGTTTAATTACATCTACCAGAAATGCAGAGTCCCAAAAAGGACTCCAGATTTGAAAGTCTTAAAAAAGATTATTTCTTCTTGGTTTTTGGTATCCAGGAGCTCTAAAAATATAAAGAAGTTTATGGACTACTTTAAGAAAAAAAATTATAATTTTTAGATTAGAAGAATAATACATTTTTGAACCTAAAGCTCTTAGGTATAATGGCAGCAAGGATTCCAGGACTTTGGGTATAAAAACAATTCCAAAAAAAAGTATTAAGTCAATAAATCTTGTAATTTTTTTTTACAGCAGATCATAAATCACTTAACATTTTTAGACAAAAACAGAGATTTAAAGTCGCAGTCATTTTAAGACTCCTCATTCCTGACATCTAAAATTAATGTAGTTTGTTTACTAATTATGTTGTTAAATGTTTTTTGTAAATTTATATTTTTCTTCTTGTGTTTATAAAATTATATTTTTCTTTTTGTATCTATAAAACATTATTTTGTATATAAACAGTAATTGTAAATGATAAAAATTTATTTTTGTAAACAATGTTTTATTTTAAAAAAATATTTTTTGTTCTTTTTTATTAATAAGAATTTTTGATATGTTTTGTTTGTAAATCAATTTTGTTGAAAATTTTTTTCTTCACAACTTATGCTTATCGTAAATTAATTTAGTTTAAAAGATATATTTTGTTTCTATTTGTTTAAAACTCATGTTCTAGTAACTGTAATTAAATTTTGTCAATTTAAAGTGTTTATAATTTTGTAAAAGCCTTAAATTAAGAAAAACACAGAGAAAAATAGATAACACAACTGTTATCATTATTAGAGATTCCTATGTTATTAACATGCTTTTGTAACTCAATTATGTTATTAACGTGTTTATGCAACTCAAATATGTTATTAAAGCGTTTATGTCACTTATAATTACGGTTATTATTATTATTATTATTGTTATTATTATTAATACCATTGTGATGGAACTATAACTTTCTACAGATTAATTTTTTTTTTAAATAATAATTCTTACTGGTAAAATAACTTGTAAAATTCCAATTTTTTTATTAACATTCAATTTTTATTTTTTAATTATATTTACCTCTTCAAGGCCTGGGGGCCTCTAGTCAACTCTAGTCAAGAAGAATTTTATTTATATCAACCCTAAAAATCAGAAATACAAAATTTGACAAACAAGGTCGCTGCATGGAGAAACAATTTAAACAAAATTGGTTAAATTTCTCATATCAATATCAATATCTTAAATGTTTTTTTGAAATTTTTAATAATTAACTTTAATATTGTGCTTTAGATATGTTTATTATTCTTAGATATATTTGTTTTTTGATATATCTATTCTTTGATACATCTGTTATTGGTATGCCTATTTTTTATGTCTGTTCTTTGATATGTTTATCTGGTATTTGATATTTTCGTTGTTTGGCCATATATTTAGTCATATTAATAAAATAATTTAATAAAATTTATCAGATATGTCTGAAAAAATGCAAGTTTTCACCTTTAGTTAGCAATTTTTTTTTTTTTTTTAATGTTATTAAAAAAAAATGTAATAAAATATTTTGGTTTTTAAATTAAACAGCAAAAAGAAACAAACAAAAGCAGGAAATAAGACTTTAAATAAAACCAAAAAATAAAAGTACAAAAATTGAATTGTTATTTTTATTTTTATCAAGTAATATAAAAATTACAAAAACCATACCTCATTCATATCACCATAAACATACACTTTATCACCTTTATTTAATGGTAGTTCCATCTCAAAATCTTCATTACGAGAATACACTGATGGATCATAAGTAAAGCTTGACACAAATACATTGAAATCATTTATACTAAAGAAAATTTAAATGGTTTCAAAATATATCTTAAAATCAAAAAGTCAAAATAAAAAAAAAACAAACCTTTCAATACTTGTATCAAAATTATGTTTTTGAGAACTGTTAACTGAAGTTTTTTTGATATCTAAACACAAAAATTTATTATTATAAGAAACTCTATCCTGATTATAACAATTTTTTAATTTGCATTATTATAAAATTATTACAATTAACAATTATAAAAACAAATTAATTCTGATCATAAAATATTTTGCAAAATATAATTATATAACTATATAAAATAACAAATAATATATAACTGTAATTATAATAATAATAAATAATATACAACTGTAATTATATAACTACATATAATAATAATAAACAATATATAACTGTAATTATATAACTGCATATAATAATAATAAATAATATACAACTGTAATTATATAACTGCATATAATAATAATAAATAATATACAATTAATCTTATCATACAAAAAATTATTTTAAATTTTTATATAGTAGAACCTGATTTCAATTTAACAGTGAATTTTTTTTTTTTTAATTTGTTGTAAAATTTAATCAAGATGTTGATTCAGGGTTGTTAGTTAGCAGTATTGGTACTGGTAACATACAACACACAGCCACATGCAACATATTCTTCTGCCTCCCATAAAATATTAAAGATATTAATTCTTGTTTACTTACTTACCAATTTATTGCTATCTATTAACCTTTTAAATCTATTTAAATTATTAAATACTTAAACTGATCTTAGATCATCTGGTTTTTTCTTAGGTAAATAGATGATGGATTCTGAGGTCATCTAGTATAAGCTTTACAAGAATACTATGATTAAAACTTTTAAAACTTTTTATTGAAGAAAATCTGTTTTGGAAATATATAAAAAAAGTCTTATACACATAAATTGTAATATAGTTTCAATCTAAAAGATACTTCTTCTGGAAGTAACTTTTCAATAGAACTTGTACTAAATTCACTAATCATTATTGTGTCTATATAACACAGTATTGTCACGTTATTTTTATTTTAGCAGAAAGTAAATATGAAAGCTCACAATGCTTGAAAATTTATAAAAACAAAATTCTAGTTACAAATTAAAATACCTGAATAATTTTCCAAAGAGCTAATTGACGAAGGTAATTCATACTGTGTATAAACTTCCTTTGATTGGTACTTAATATTGTTTTCTTTAACATTGCAGATTGCACCATATGAAACCTTTGAACAATTAACAAAATTATCATAAACACTTTAAACAAAAAATATTATTATAGTAAAACAATTTTAAAGCTTTGGGTGGGAATGTTTGGGTTGAAAAAAAGATTAATTTGGTTTATGCAGACACAACCACTGTAAAACGATGTGAAATAACTAAATAAATAAATTATTTCTAAAATAATTTTACAAGTACAATTTTTAGTAAAACAAGATGTAATAACTCTTTAGAATAGAATACACGATAGTATTATAAAGAGATTACTAACTAAATGCAATCGAGCTTCAAGATTGGTCAAAAAAAATCCATCAATATTTAAAAACCATTTTCAAATAATTCCCAAAATCCTAACAGAATAGGATCACATTGTATGCACACCCCTGTGCATACAATGTGATATAGACAAACAAAATAATTTTGAAATTGCTTTTATGATAAAAGATTTCAAATAGATTATACACATATTTAAAAAAATAAAAAACATTTAAAATAATGCCTAAAAAGTGTTTAAAATCTTTATAGTTTATAATTTTATTTTTATAGTTTATAATTTTATAAATTTATAGTTTATAATTTATATATTTACAGTTTATAATTTATATTTACTTATAGTTATTTATAATTTATAATTTATTTATATATATATATATATTTATATATATATATTTTATATATATATATATTTTATATATATAAGTTATTTATAATTTATAATTTATAATTTATTATTTATAGTTATTTATAATTTATATTTATACATATATTTATAGTTTATAATTTTATAAAAGTTTATAATTTTATTTTTTTATATTTTAACATTGTATAGTTATTTGTATATATATTTTTATTTGTGACATTGACAATGAAAAAAAATCATTTTGTTGAGTTTTTGTTGCTATTCATGAGAATAGTTTATATATACTTTTACATACATAATAACATTAATTTAATAAAAGAATGATAACTTTTTATTAGATTTTATACAAAAATTAGGTTTTAAACTACACAAGAAACTGGTTAAAAATGTGAACATAGTTGACTATCAAAAATGCTTAGAGTCTTTTTTCGTATAACTTCAGGAAGAAAAAAAAGGGGGAAGGGGGTAACATAAAAATGTTCAGTATATTTTTATTTTTGATTTTAAAAGATAAAACTACATATGAAACTGATTGAAAATCTAAAAATTATTCAAAATGAAAAAAATTTATGTTATTTTAGGATTATGTCCTGTGAATAGGACTCAAGCTTAAAGACAAAAAATCACTCAGGTATGCTTTGAGTTTGATCTTGTTTTTAAAAACTTTACCTCATAGATTTTCACTCAATGAACAAAACAAGTAATAGTCATTTAGGGTTAAGTCTAGTAAAGTCTAGTAGGTGGGTGATCTTCTATTCTCATAACTTTTGCTGAGTTGATTTCATAATATGTGGTCAAATATAATAAAAAATTGTCATAAAGAAATGCTTTGAACAATCAGTTGAGAGCCTTTACTTAAGCTTATCTAATTAAACTTCTGCAGTTACAGTTGTTTCGACCAATTGGTCGAAAGCAACTCCTAATATGCAATATGCCCCACCACATTGAAATCTTTTTTTTTTTATGGATAAAGTTCAGGTTTTGAAGATGGTATTGGCTTTTGAGTAGGGCTGATTAATGTTTTTATTTTAATGATGTTATTAACATAGAGGACTTGTTTCTGTAATAACATTGTCAAGCTAACTTATAGTTTGCTTTTTGAATAGCAAAAAAATAAGTCTAAACACTGATTTTGCTGATTCAGATTTAAATCACGAGGAGCCCAAACACCTAAAACACCTATTGAACAACAACAAAACTGATTCAGATGACATGAAATATTGGTATGACAACACCTAAGAGTTCCAATGTATTAAATTTGTATATGTAAAGTATTTATCATTGTTTAGAAATTAGTCGTTATGCTGGATTATCTTTTTTTCATCTTTTGGGCTGCTTCCTTTTGCACATTAACAATATGGAGGACAACATTATGTCTTTGCACATTATTAGCAGATGAGACAAAAATTTAAAATGCAGTTTTAATTTAATTGATTATGGGTATTAGTTATGAACTAATATGTATTAAATTTATTACTCTAAGAACTTCCAGGCCTGAGTTCATCTTTTTACTTGCATTGAAACATTCAAACTGATTTGATGCTGTAGCATGTGACACAGAGGCCTAAGCAATAGGACCACTAAAATTTCAAGCAGTTTATCTAGTAGAATGTCCTAATTGGGTTTTTTGGATTTTTACATTTTTTAAAATATTTAATAGCTATAAAATATTAATGGTTTTTACAGAAAGTGTACTTTATAAACATTAAAATTAACTCAGAAAACTTAATTAAGTTTAAACACAGAGAGTTGTGAAAAGATTTTTACCACAAACAGTAGATTTAGATGTCAAAGTATAGGAATATATAATGGTATAGGAATATATATACATAGGAATATATATAATGGTATAGGAATATATATAGGAATATATATACACAATATATATATATATATATATATATATATATATATATATATATATATATATATATATATATATATATATATACAGTGTATATATATATATATATATATATATATATACACAGTGTATATATATATATATATATATATATATACACTGTATATATATACACTGTATATATATATATATATATATAATATATATATATATATATATATATATATATATATATATATATATATATACACTGTGTATATATATATATATATATATATATATACACTGTGTATATATATATATATATATATATATATATATATACACTGTGTGTATATATATATATATATATATATATATATATATATATATATATATATATATATATATATATATATATATATATATATATATATATATATATATATATATATACACTGTATATATATATATACACTGTATATATATATATATATATATACATATATATATATATATATATATATATATATATATATATATATATATATATATATATATATATATATATATATATATACAGTGTATATATACAGTGTATATATATATATATATATATATATATATATATATATATATATATATATATATATATATATATTATATATAGATGGTATCATATCCAAAAGCTGAGGAACTGCTAAATAA